CAAAAAAAAAAAAAAAAAAAAAAAAAAAAGAATAACTAAGATTATTATGTTTATCCTTGAGTATGCAAAGAGAATTTTGATTGAGACACTGAAAACTAAAACATGTAAGAAGGCGATAAATAGGTCTGAGAATCTAGAAGCAAATTTCCAGTTAAATACCGTTCTTAGATCCATCATCTTCTTAGTTTTCCTCAGGGTCACATATGAAGCTATTGTTGAAGATTCGGGTGTTGGTGATTTTGTTCTTGGAGGTACTACTCCAACAGGAAAATGGGAACCTAAAAATCAAAACAGCAGTAAGCTCTACAAAACATCTTTTATACAGCGTTGCTTTCTTTTAACTTAATTAATTTCTGACCCTTTTAAAATCAGAAAGCAAATTTACCTAGAGTCAAGGCTGGGCATGGTGGTTCATGCCTGTAATCCCAGCACTTTGGGAGGCTGAGGCAGGTAGATAACCTGAGGTCAGGCATTCAAGACCAGCCTGGCCAACATGGTGAAACCCGTCTCTACTAAAAAAAATTAGAAAAATTAGTCAGGCATGGTGGCAGGTGCATGTAATCCCAGCTACTCAGGAGGCTGAGGCAAGAGAATCACTTGAACCCAGGAGACGGAGGTTGCAGTGAGCCAAGATTGCCCCACTGCACTCCAGTCTGGGTGACAGAAAGAGATTCTATCTCAAAATAAAATAAAATAAAATAAAATAAAATAAAATAAAATAAGATAAAATAAAATAAAATAAAACAGAGAATCAGTCAATAATACCACCAGATAAATGTAGGGTTACATTTTAAAATAAAACTCTGTTCAGGTATGGTGACTCATGCCTGTAATCCTAGCACTTTGGGAGGCTGAGGCGGGAGGATCACTTGAGCCTAGGATTTTGAGACCAGCCTGAGTAATACAGTGAGACTTGTCTCTACAAAAATTGAAAGAAAAAAAAAATTAGCTGGGCATGGTTGGTTCATGCCTATAATCCCAGCACTTTGGGAGGCCGAGGAGGGCGGATCACAAAGTCAGGAGATCAGACCATCCAGGCCAACATGGTGAAATCCTGTCTCTACTAAAAACAGAAAAAAAATTAGCTGGGTGTGGTGGCATGCACCCGTAATCCCAGCTATTCAATAGGCGAGGTTGGAGAATGGCTTGAATCTGGGAGGCGAAGGCTGCAGTAAGCCAAGATCACGCTACTGCACTCCAGCCTGGGTGACAGAGTGAGGCTCCATCTCACAAAAACAAAAAAAGAGAAGAAAAAAATTCTACAGATTAGCCTATAACATTTTTAAGAACATTAATTATAAAAAGCCCTCTTTTGACCAGGCGCCGTGGCTCATTGCCTATAATTCCAGAGCTCTGGGAAGCCAAGATGCGAGGATGAGTTTGAGACCAGCCTGCTCAACATAGTGAGACCCCATCTCTGTTTTTTAAAAAAAGCCCTCCTTTGTCACACTGATACATCTCTATCATTATCCTAACAAGTTGGTTCAACCTAAATGTCCTTAATTTCTGCTTGGTTTTTAAAAATCATATAGTATTGCCTCAAAAAAGTAGTCACTAACAACGTTAAAACAGCTAACTATACTATAGGTATTTGTTTTCACTTTCGCTTCTGTATTTTTCCTTTTCTTTTCTTTTGAAATGGAGTCTTGCTCTGTTTCTCAGGCTGGAGTACAATGGCACGAACTCAGCTCCCTGCAACCTCCGCCTCCTGGGCTCAAGCAATCCTCCCACCTCAGCCTCCTAAGTAGCTGGGGCTAAAGGCATGGGCCACCATGCCCGGCTAATCTTGCCACGTTGCCCAGGCTGGTCTTAAACTCCTGGGCTCAAGCAATCCTCCCACCTTGGCTTCCAAAAGTGCAAGGATTACAGGAGTGTGCCACTATGCCCGGCCAACCCTTTTTTTTTTTTTCCCTCTGAGACGGAGTTTTGCTCTTGTTGCCCAGGCTGGAGTGCAATGGTGCGATCCTGGCTCAACGCAACCTCTGCCTTCTGAGTTCAAGCAATTCTCCTGTCTCTGCCTCCCTAGTAGCTGGGACTACAGGCATGCACCACCACACCAGGCTAGTTTTGTATTTTTAGTAGAGACAGGGTTTCACCATGTTGGTGAGGTTGGTCTGGAACTCCTGACCTCTGGTGATCTGCCCACGTCGGCCTCCAAAAGTACTGGGATTACAGGTGTGAGCCACCACCCCCAGCCTCAGCCAATCTTCTTAAGCAAAGCATTCAGTCCAATTATATTTGTGGCAATTGGCAGTTATTTAGATTTATTTGTACCAACGTATTTTTTTTCTTTGCATTTTCTCCAACTTCTTTCCCGTTTTGGATTATCTTTCTCTCCTTCCATTTGTCTCCCTACTAGTTTTGAAGCCATATAGTCTATTTCTTTTTTTTTTTTTTTTTTTTTTTTT